TGAAACTTATTTTGAGGGTTTTTCCTATTTCTATGATTGTGTGTGTTTATTGCTTTACAGTATTAGCTTTATTCCTAATTTTATTTTTTTTCACCTCATATGATTTCTTCTGAAAAAATAAATTAATTTGTTACACACCTTCTAACAGTCTCATGCCTTTTATTTGCACACATAAATTGTCCCTTTTTTTCAGATGTGAATTATTTCTTTTAAGTAATTTGTTTTTTACCTTCTCCATACCAGTCTAAAAAAACTGTCAAGTACCTCTTTTTATTCTTTTACTGTATTTTCTTGTTATTGTTTGTGTAGCTCTGCCATGTAGCTTTTTTGTAGCTCTCCAAACTGTTTCCTGTTTGTACCACTCCCACCTTCCAACAAGCTACACCAATCCTTATGGGACCTAGGCCAGCCAGTGCCATGTAAGGCAGTTCTGTGGAGTTTGCCGCTACCCCAAAGGAAAATTGTTTGGCATTTTGGCAGCAGTGATACCAAAGATATATGACAATTGTATCGAAGGGTTGGGAAATTCGCGCTGGCCCACTCATCTCTGCCTCGAGCCACTAGCCTCACTCCTTACCGTTCCTATAAGCCTATGTAAAGGATTGACAGAGGCGTGCCCGGCAGCATGATGTCGGTTCCGCGAAACTTGGCACTCCCCAGTGCATGAAGACCAGCCTAGGTTCAGACTTTTTATTTGTTTTATTTACAGGTACGAGTTTAATTTATATTAGAGTAATTGAGTTAACTTCTGCATGATTTCATCTCTCAGTGCTGGGCATGCATTAGTGCATGTCAACTAGACGTAGGTGTTTTCACTTTTGTAGCCAGAGAGAATTGGGTAGCAGCTCTGCTAACAAGCAACATCCCTGCTGCAATATTTTTGGAACAAATGTGCGTGTCTGCCATGTGTTCTGTCCTCCAGGGCAAGTGCGTGCAAGTAGTGGCAGCTGGTTTCCTTTAGTTGTACACTTATAATGCTGCGTCTCACCACTCCACTGGCCACCTGCTAATGGCTATTCATGCCACACTATTCTACTTTGTAGGCTCAAATTGTAAATGCCCAAACCACTCCAATCTCTGACTTTTATAGAGTCAAAATCCTTCTCCTAATTGAGGAAGTACCAATGACCTAAAGGCTGACCCAGTGTTCTTACTATCTATCTATCAAGAGCATAATCATTTTTTGCAATATATCAAATAAAAAAAATTCAATTTTACATTAGTATTTAGGTCCCCTACTAATTTTCTACTGCACTTATAGCATCTGACTTTGTGAAATCTTGTCTCATACTCTGCCATCCCTAGCCCTCTACTAACTTTTATTTTTGATTTAACAGTAACTTTGTTTTGCTCCTCCCGTGACCGACACCCTGGGTTTTGTAACAGGTTGGTAACTGTAGTCGTGTAGCTGTACAGCTGTTGTTGTCTTACAGATGTCGTAATGCTGTTACCCCACCTCTCCCTTATCTCCTGTGTTCAAAATTTATCCCTAGTTACCCCAGCCTTGAGTGGAATTCCTTAATTAAATCCCAGCTAATATTGTGACCTGTGCTAAGAGATGGAGTGTGTAGACTGTGGCTAGAGCAAGAGGCTAGTATGTTTGTTTCTCTGTGCTGCATACACAATCTTTAATAATCCTGATGGGCTAGCAGCCTCAACACTGCCATGGCCCAGTGCCTAGTTTGTTGTGCCCTGGCTGCCACTGCTGTGCTCGCAGCTTGCATGTTCATAGGTTGCCCCGTGCCACCTGGCACCCCTCACACAGGGCTACGTCACACCATCCTCACCCAGTCTCCAGCAGCCTCACCTCCTTCAGCCTCGGTCTCCTATCATTATAACTATTATTATTAATTATCATGTGGACATGACTAGTCATTCTTAGTTCTTTTTTGTTTGTTTATAGCACTGTGTTACCAGTGACTTGTCTGGTGAGTTTTATTTTTTATTTTTATGTGTTGCTACTAACATGTTCATGATGAGATGTTGATGTACTGTATTACAATATTGTGGGGGTTTGATTGGATGTCCCGTCCCGTTTGCAGTTGAGAGTAATACGAGCATTCAAGTCAACCCTGGAAGACTTGGAAGAGCGGCGGTCGTGCCATAGTTTACACAGCTTGCATAGTATGCGCAACTTGCGCAGTCACCAGGGCAACCGGCCCATGTCAGACATCAGTTACATAGATGAGGACTCTACGAAAAGCCCAAGTCCCAATAGTGACAAGCGGTGTGGGTCATGCAACACAACAGTGCACCTCGTAACGCCCATCGAGGAGTCATCGCCCACCACTGCTGAGAACGCCCCCCTGGTACCCCCTGGCAGCCCCCAAGGCGGGCCTGCAGCAGCAGCAACCCAGCAGCTGGGGCACCACCGACCCCACACCCACGCCAACACACAAAGTACTAAGTGCTGCCACCACCACCACCACCACCATCATCTTGCTGGCACAGCCCCCTCCCCTTCACTTGTGCAGCCTCTTTCTCTGCACCACTTTAACACACTGGTGGCCCAAACCCTTCACTCTAACATGGCAGCACACTCCAGCACACTGCAACCCTCCTCCCCACCTTCACCACCAGATCTCCTTAATTTGATTCATGAGACCAGCATTTGACCCCCTCCCCAAGACTGATTGTGGTTTCTTCCACATCATTGTTTAACTTTTCTCACATATAATTGTGGGTTGCCAGTCTCTTGATTAGTAGACTAACCCAAATTTCCATTTCTCATGACATAGACCACTCACTGGTCTCATGACTGGTGAGTGCCCAGACCATCCTGTATTCTGCTGTCCATTCTACCCACCACCATTCACATTTTAAAACCCTACCTCATGTGTCAATGGCACTTTTCTTCTTTAAAAACTAAATCCCTTTATCTTTATAATATTGTATTTTTCTTCATTAAAAAATTATAAACCCACTTTGTTTCACAAGTCATCATTTTTTTTGTAACATATTGCTTTGGTTTTACTTCTTTACTTTTTATCATTTTTTTTTATATTTGGTTGTAGCCTTCTAGACCTTTACCTAAATTGCTACTTGGCTTTTAATTTGTTGGTGTTAATACCTTTTCCTGAACCCCCACCCCCTGTTGCTGACATGACTTGTCCTTGTAGGTGGGTGAGTGTCAGTGTTGTGGGGATGGGGGTGTTCCTATGGTGGGTGGAGCGTTGGGTGTGCTGGGGGCCAGGCAATCTCTTGCCTCTTGCTACTCCCTCTTGCCTTGAGCCCTTGTGAGGCTGAGTGTTGTTATCTTGCCCTGCTCTGCTTGCCACCTCCCGCTGATTGCACCAGCATCTGAGGGTTGTGGTGGTGGGCGGTCTGCAGGCCAGCCTGGCTCCCCGGCGGGACCTTTGCTACAACAGACTGAGACAATATCTCACGTGCACTTCACTAACAACTCCCGCCTCAGCTGTTACTAGTCTAGCGTATGCCAGGGTAACTAACACACATCTTGTGTTCTACTCATTTCTAAAGCGCAGCTAGAGGAGACGTGGTTTTGCACTGCATGTTGTGTTTTGTGTTGTGCATTTATTTTATTCTGTGCAATATGCCATGTGGTTATGGAGAGTGCCAAATAGTGAACTGTTCCCCAGCTTTGGAAGAATAAATTGTAAAATATTAAATAATAAATAGTGAGGAAGGTATTTTAAATGAAGCCAAATCTTGAAAACTATATATATATAAAAAAAGCTTGCCCTGGTGGTAACTGAGACCACAGCCTTGAATTTTCCCTGTCTGTATGACTGCGTTCCTCTTCCCTGCCTGTCCAATCCTTTGTGTCCTATTATCCTAGTGTCATTATCTTTTTTTTTTTTTCTGAGTATTATTTCTTTTTACTTCAGTTTGTTTCTTTGGGTTGGGGTCGTTGTTCACACAGATTATAGGCGTGACTGGCTTCTGGACTTCACCTCTTTTATTATGGGTGGACTGGAGGTTCAGAAGGGGGCAAAGGCCCTCCTCCATTGGAAATGATCTTCCACTCAGTTGAGGTAGGACCCAGAGCCTCACTCCTAGTTTGGCAACAAGCATGTTGCAGGCATCATGGCTGCTAAGAAGCCAGTTAGGTTGGCCTGGTTCCTCCTCATCCGGGAAGATGTCTTGTGTCAGCAGGTTATCGTAACACTGTCAATGCAGGGCTCATATTTTACTTTCCAGCCTCCAGGGAAAACTTCATATAGGCTTTGACTTAAGCTGACCTTCGTTATCTTTTAGATGAACATGGTGTTGAGCGAATCATTCTGTTATTTTTCCTGGTAGGAGGATCAGGAAGGAGAAACACATGGGGGTGAGGTATGAACCAGATCATCTGTTTCTGTCAGCCCCTTGTACCTGAGCTATTCTCAGTGAGTAAGCCACTGTGCTAGACACCTCACCCGCAGCATTAGCCCAAATCTATGGTCCTCAACAATTAGTGGCTATTAGAGCAGGCCTATTTACAGTATTCACCTGCATAATCAGTTCTCGCTAGTGTACCCACAGTAGTGATTCTTGCAGCGGTAGTAGTCTATTGGGTTTCCATCATTATTATTTTTAGTCAAGTTGTGCTCTCTCTGCATGAAGATGTGTTTCTTCTTCAACGGTCCCGGAGCCACACAGATCGTGAGTTGGTGTCCTGAGTGTAAGCGTATTAATCCCTGCGTGCCCCTGTAATGTCTAGGCGAGTCCTGGGTAGGTGTGGACACCCGTGTGTTGTCTGTAGCCTCTACTCCACTACTGCTGCTCCACTATCCCCTGCACACCACACACTGTACATACACCACTCGGTTAATATGCCGTGTGCCGCCTTAGACAAGGTGTGTAGAACACAAGGGCGTGTACTGTGGGCGAGGTGACAGCAGCTACCACTTACCAGGCTGTGGGTGCTCATGGTGTGGAGAACTGGGTCATGCCCTTGTCTTCTATACATTTTGCTTTATAATTCATCCCTGGCCAGCTCTAACTTACCACTGTAGCCACTCGCCCTCACCACTGTTATTATTATTCTCATGGTTCAGGTCATTGGAGGCACGTTGCAGGAGCGGCTGATACCCGTACCGTATAGCAAGACCTCCACAGACCAGGCTGTAAGCTACACCCCTCTCTCTTGTCTCTTCTTAGACTCATATTTTGGACTAATGTGATCGCTCGCTCACTTCCCCTCAATTCTTTGCCCTTGGTCTGTGCTGTTTGCTTCTTTACTTTCGTGGAAGCTGTAGGCTGGTTGAATCAGTGTTCTATAACCAAAAAGGTAAATAATTGTTGAATTTAAACCATCCTATCATGCCTCCAAGCTGTCTCTTACACAGAACAATTTACACAGTCCCATTCCCCAGCTATAAGCAAAGGTTGCTCCTTACTAATATTTTTCTTAAATATTAAACTTGTCCCCATAAATGACAATAAATGACCAGAGAAAGTGCATGTCTTTACTCACGTCAGTAGAACAAATAAAGAAAATTGTGTAAGAGACCTCGATTATGTTGATTTTTATGAATTAAATATCTGTTTTTTGCTTCCATCCAGCCGTGTATGACTTCCTTGAACTGTTCCTGCATGACTATAGTGAGACTTGTGACCTAGACCTAGGTGAATTAGATGGCACTACTAGACTAGACTTGTCTGTTTCGCCAGTGTTGAGTGTAATTTTGTGGCAAGAAAATTGTTTTTACATGTCTTATTACATACAATGTATTGTCAGATTGTCAAATATATAACATGGTGTTATTAATGGCAACTAGTATTTTGTGTATCATACTTGTTTTCTTAGTAACTAACTGTTGGAGTGGATGGTGTGCATGGTGGCATGCTTTGTGTGTCAGTGGTAATGACAAAAGTGTGGTCTCTGCAGATCTTGGTGTAGTTGCCCTATCCTGTGAATCCCTCCCACCCTTAAGTTGTGACTGATTGGACCTGTGGGTTTGGGTATTATGTAACTGCCTAAACCCATATTGTTTGAGTGTTTGTGTGAGCTAACCATTTGGTGCACGCACCACTGATGGCACATGCCCTGGACGGGCTTCCTGCCGCCAACTTTGCTGGGCTGCTGATTTTTCATAATCTTCCTCCTTTTTTTAAATGTAATTGCTGCTGCTGCTGCTGCTGCTGCTGTCTGGAAATTCTCCCCACAACAAGAGCAGCAGCAGGGTTGGACAGCATTGAAGCGGTAGTGGGTCTGTATCCGGGAGCGCGCATGTCCGCATGAGCCGCGCACTATGGAGAGCCTCCAGCCAACATGCAGTGCCCACGTTCTCTGGCTGCCAACTCTTTGTCTTGATGTCTGAAGTGTGTGTCCACCGGCGTTAGAGCCACTGAGCTCCGTCACTCGTGTAGATCCTATGGCAGCCAGCAACACTCTCAAGTATTCTGTATAAGTGCACGATCTATTTATTGTTAAGTTTTTACTTTAATATCTTAATCGACTTTGTGAATGGTTTTAACCTCTGTTTTCTAACTTTTTACATACTAACCATCATAACTCTTCTTTGTATTGGCACCTAACAGGCTGTATAAGCCAGCTAATGAAGATGCAGTACACGGTTCAAGTTTGGCATGGGATCTTTGCAATGAGCATGACTTTCTGCTTGTGTGTGCGAGCGGCGGGTGAGCTTCTTCGCCCCCGCCGCTCATTGCTGACGCTGTTACGTTCCGTGGTTGGCAGCAAGGCACACTCCTCACCCTCTCACTTGTCAGCAGCTCTCACAGTAACCCTCACAGTCAAGTTAAGCCCTCATCTTAAAGAACACTTTGCCAATTATGTCTCATGTTTCAGTGAAAAGTCAAAATTTGTACTTGTTTTTTTTTTATTCCCATGGCTCATTCCTTTTGAGTGTTCAAGTGCCTTGGACCAATGTAGCTAGTGTTTCTCCTTGTTTGGTGTTTTGTACGTGGTTTAGTTGTGTCCAAGGCATCTATGGCCTTACCTTGAACCACAACTAAAATAAATTTTATGACCTCTCCCTACAGATTCGAGTAGTTAATGCGTTTCGACAGGGGCTTGATGCTCGGCCTTCCAACCCGAATCTGGCGGCTGTGCTGAAGAAGCAGTCATCCTTGAGCAAGCGGCTGTCTCAGGGGTCTTCATTGGAATATGCAGATATGTGTCCCGATCCAGAAGAGCTGACAGTCCCAGAGATCGACGTGGAACGCTTGTCCTCACACAGCCACACTGAGACTGCTGTGTAGACCCAAGTTTAGGCCCCCCATGCCACTCTCTCAGGGCCAACTGCACCTCCAGCAGCAGCATTGGCAGCAACAGTAGTGTGATCAGCAGCAGTAGCAGAAGCAGCAGCAACAACAGCCTTTGGTCACCACCATAGCAGCTAGTGGGTGCCGCCTGCAGTGTGGTGCCTAGGTGCTGGCTATGCTGCAACTGATTGTGACTTGACTGCGATAATCAGGGTGGCTCAGACGGGTTAGGGCAGTGACAGCTCATGTATGGGAGGAACAACGGTTGTGGGTGCTGTACAGTTCCACTATTACGAGTAGACTGAGCTCCCACAACTATTTTGTCTTCCTGGGGGCATGGTCACATGCAGAACCCACCCTGAACACACACCACAAAAGGGCACACCCAGCTGTGCTGTAACGTGTGCCTGTGTCTGGTGCACATCCACACTCACTGGTGTATGCCAAGAACTCAGTTAACAGTGTGCCGCGCCCCTTGTTTCATCATGTCCTACTGTTAATAGTCTTGTGTATAGTAAGGGTTGTTATTGCATAGTCTACCAATTATAGAAATGGTAAAGGGTTTTTGCCAGAGGGTTAGATCTGTTGAACAATACTAAGGACAAATTACCATTATACCTGTAGTCAAAGGATGTTTTAAACCTCTCTAAGGAAGTTGTGGAAACTTGTATATTCATGAATGTTCTTGGTTCTTGTTTTCTAAAACCATGTTGGCTGTTCCTGATGCTAGAGTCTATACATCTCTGTTTTGTTTATGTTTGGCAGTATTGTTTTGTCCATTTGCTGTGTATGAAAGAAAGAGTCCTAGGTTGTATGACTGGTGGTACCTCTTAGCTTAAGTGGTATTATCATTGCGTTGCTGAAAGTTGTGTGGTGAGGCCAGCCTTGTTATAAGCCCGACTTCAACCCACACAACCACCACTGATGTCTAGGTTTAATTAGACATCTTTGCATTTAATACTAATAATCCTAACATCATGGGGGTCGTTTTTATGGAGCAATAGTTGTTTTGAAGTATATATAATAGTGATGATGCTTGTCAATAATTCAATCACTGAAGGTAATTGTCATGTTATGTAATTACAATATTACAAATAAAGTGGTGCACGGTTGTTTCCAACCTTTCACCTGTTACAACGTTGGCTAGCCAATGGAACCAATCCTTATTGTTGTGCCCATGTGAGGAGCACTCCAGAGGCCTGCAATGGAGTACAGTCGCCCTAGGAGTAAACCCTAAGAATTTGTCACGTTCCTACAGCACCAGTTTACCTGATTTTGGGCATGCCAAGGGGTCTAACTACACTTTCGTAGTTTGACCTGTAGGCCTCCCCCTCCCCCCTTTCCTCGCCTTATGGGATGCTGTTAAGCTTGCCCTCATCTCGTACCCCTTCCCTCCTAATCTTTTGATCTGCATAGCCTGTCCTTAATTCCTTTATCTTAAACACCATCTACCCTCCTCCATCACACTTTCCCACTCCAGGTTGACTTGGTGTCTGTGTGCGTGGTCTGCCCGCTCCCATCCTGTTCTTAGGTGTGGCAAATATGCATTAGTTTTAAGTCAGTTCTCTGGGCTGTTCACCAAACAATTACACATAACAAATTGTAGTCAATAGCAAACAGTTATTTCATTCTTTTCTGTAGAGAAAGTGGAAGATTTTCTAAATACTGAAATGTTGTAAATCCAATAAATGTTAATGTAAACTGGTAGAGATAACCAAGATTAAACCTTCTGTAAATCTTCAGTCAGTCATTTTGTGATGCTCGTCTCATGTCAGCCACGACACTAACCTTTCGTTTGTCAACTAATTCTAGGACTGAGGAAGTGTAAGATCAGTGGAAGTTTGATAGGAAAAGGCCTTGTACTTCTTCTCTTTGTCCATTATCTGATGTGTGTATGTGTGTGTTTGTTTTTGGTTGCACATGTTTGCAACTGTGTATGTTTTGTGTACACATGTTTTGTTTTGTGGGTGTGTGTTGTTGGGGTGCTTGTATGTGTGGGGGTGTGTGTGTGGGAGTGGGTGGGTGTTGTGGCACGTGTGTATGTTGTGTGTGTGTGTGTGTGGTGCATGTGTGTGTGTTGTGGCGGCACGTGTGTGTTTGTGTGTCTGTGTGTGTGAAAGTTCGTGGGTTGTTTGTGCAGTGTGGAGCGGCTAGCCAAGGAACACACTCCATATAGCAAAAGACAAATGGGAAGAACAGCCCACTGTTTGGCCACTGTTGTGGTGCGTGTAGGGATTACGTCCCAAACGCTAAAGCAGCTATTGAAACTCTGCCACTACCCACGCACTGGAAAGCGCGTAGTACTTTAGATTTTTCGTGGATATAAACAAATGGCTTCTATTGTTAATAGGAAAGAACATTACTTGTTGCGTTTGTTAACTTTAAAAATACAGGTTTTCAAGACTCCACATCTTTTCTTCCTATCCCACACTTTTTGCTTTTTATACACTGTTAACTTTTTCATGTTAAACATTTTTAGCATTGAAGGTATGTAATTAACAATAATAATTATATACTTAAAGTATTGTAATTAGTTTTGGTGTGCTCAGTATGACAATTGATGAGAGCACATACAAATGGATGGCACTGTGTGCCTCATCCTAAGGTAGCTTTTTAAATTGTGGTATTCAGTATCTGAACACCAATAATAAAGTCAGTCTACCTTTTGTCTTTGGTAAGTAGAAAAAGTTTAAGCCAACTATGACTAACGCTGTTTATTTTGTTATCCGAACTACAATGGATTATTCTACATGTTGGCCATGAGTTTTATTGAATGTTTAATTAAATGATTTAGTAAGGTTAGATAACCTTAAGGAATTGTTAATATATATAAAGCTATAAATCTTTAAATGAATGAATCTATACAGTGGAACATCACTAACGTCACCCGTTGAATTGGCGGCAGCTGGCCTTAATAACAAGGCAACCTCTTGAGAACAAACTTTTGTAATTAAATATTCAAAACAAAATTATAGTCTGTAAATTAAAGATTCATATAATAATAATACATAAATACACAGTAAATCCTTGACTGAATGGACCTTGGAAATACTGGACCAAATCCTATGGGTTAATTGATGTGGAAAAAATGTCTATGGGTTACAGAAGTGTCCATTACTGTTATGATCATCACAGCCAATCTCCTCTCCATCACAATCACCTTTACTGACCACTGGCTCTCTTCCTGTTAGTCCATTAAATCAAGGGTTTACTATGTATTACTGTAACTTGCGGAAGTGGTGCGACCTCACGCTTTTCTTGGTGGTGAATTTTATGCTTTACATAGTTTTCTTGCGGTACTGTACTTGTCATGTCAATGTGTATCCCACTTGGTTCATTGTTTTTCCAGTTATTTCCAGCTGCAATTAAACTATAGCAAGGTCTGTGATTGACAAATAATTGTTCTCGTTTTGTCATCCCAACTGAATTATTTATATTCTAAGATGATTAATGCCACACTAGATGTCCATTTCATGACATTATGAAAGTTGACTTGTTAGTGAATTTAGCCCCTTTCATGCATTTTTCTATTATAGTAGTTAAACACCTTTAGAGAACATAACTGTATTAGTGAAGAATAAATTTTTTTCTATAAAACCAGACTGTCAGATGTGTGTGTGCGCATGCACGTGTGTGTAAGTTTAGTAGACCTAATACTATGATGTAAATGCATCAGTAATCCTCCTCAATAATTTCAAGAATAAAGGAACTGTTAGAGATTTATCTGAAAAATAATCAGTTGCCAATTTAGAACTGGCTGCTGTAAAATCTAAAATTGAACATTTTCCAGGATAGTGATGTGACAGTTGAATTGAAGTTAATTTATACTGTGCAAAATTAAAAAAAATCTAATTAGCATTTTTCAATAGTAATGATGGGTCAAACGCCATACAATACGAAGGCGACCATTGGGTGAGGTTCCACTGTATATTAATGTACTGTATGTTTAGACAGTTGGGGCTCTTAGTGAGGGAGATATTTATCAATGCCCAAGTTGGTGAGGGTTATTTTTATGGTGCCAAATTGGAACTAAAGTTAACTGGTTACACAAGATTATACAAATATTTTATTAATATGCTTACCTAAATCTCATAACTTGTAAAACTAAAAATCAAGGATTGGTTGCACAATAAAAAGAAATAATAAAAATTATTTAATATTCCATCTATGAATGCTGAGGTCTCTATGAATCAACTTCGTGAGCAATGTAAACCTCTATCAATCATTGAAGCTTAATGGAAGCCTGAAAACACTTCACTTTGTGTGATACAAAATGAACAATACCAATCACTGAAGCATAGTGGAAGCCTTAGTAATTGCCTACAGTACTTTTATATTTTTTGCAATCAGGAAAAAGCACTAAACTCAGTGGTCTTACAGCGCCTGGGGAATGGGGGGGCATTCAGGTTTGATACAAAGAAAGGGAGGCTAAGTTCCATTCCTTGGATCAAGAACTCCTCACCAGCATCAAGCACTGCCCTTGAGGGGTACTGTTTACAGAGAGGCGAGCTGCAGCTCTTGAATGTGCCTTTTAATTTTCAGTCACCTAACATGATTGAGCCCTATCGTTGTTTCTGAGCCCACGTATAGTATTGCTTCCACTGTGACTCGCTTAACATGTCCTTAAAAGTGAATACTCTATGTATTTTCTGTATTTTGGGAGACATACTGAATTTTATTCTTGTTAAAACTGCTACATTAAAGAGTAGAAAGTTAAATAACATAGCTGGAACAATTCACAAATAACTCGCATTTTAGCAGGGAAAACTTGTAATGACAATCTAGTCTGTCCTAGACTAATTTAAATCTTTTATCTTGTTTCAGTGTGGTACACTAATATCATATAATATATTCACATGAAATTGATGGTATGCCTTTCAAATTTTTTGGTTATTTTCCTGTTATACAAGATATGTAATGAAATTAACCACGTTAAAAAATTTAAAGAGACTGTGTTGGTTCCCAAACACTGTTAATGATGTCAGATTTTCCAGCTAAACAAATATGAATTTTTACCATTTATTATAATAGTGTGTCTCCTTGACTTATACTAAAAGTGGGATACAACAGACAACCAACTAATAAACAAAATGAGTTCCTAAAAATTGTGTACAACTCAAATGTTTGGAACTCGAAAACTCTCATAATACCTTACCATACCATAATATTCCAAATCTAATTGCATTTATTTTTAAATGAAATTCAGTGTTAATTAATATTAAGGATTAATAATTTTTTTCCCATCTAACAGCAGTTAGGTTCCTGGAGATCTTTACATCACTGTTAGGTATGGGAAACATTATGATTAAGAATTGGACACACACGACTCACAAATACTGTTTGGAGAGATACCGAGTGCCTTCCTTTGAGGACTGCCAGATTGAGCTATCAGTTCACCAAAATGTCAGAGCATCCTATCTATCAAAGGAAGACAGAATTCACTCACAGCAACTTCATCAATTTCACACAAACACTGTCTTCGGTGCAAGTCTCACCGTCAATGTAGACTTGCTCTTAAATTTTTGAAGCTAACTCTTTGCACTAATTTTGACGAACTTTGAACCTGCATCAACCCTAGACTCCATTAAACCTTACACTTACACATCCTCACACTAAAGTGCTGTATGATACAAAAAAACTTCAGGATTTGTTTTTAATATAAGAATCATATATACTGAATAAAATAACAGCAAAATGAGGAATGGAGGGGTGGCAGTCTTCCATCCATGCACTCATCACTCTCCCTACACCAATCAATATCACCAACACACTTCCTTGTCCAGCTAATATGTTTTTCTGAATTCTTTCATGTTACCTTGCTTATACCCCAGTACACCCAGTACACATCTTTGTACATATGAAATTTGCTTAGCTTAATGGTTTTATTATGAACTACATACCCAAAATTGTAGTTATTAGTCAAAAGATTAGTGGAACTTAATGGGTCCAAGACTGTACCCAAAATTGTAGTTATTAGTCAAAAGATTAGTGGAACTTAATGGGTCCAAGACTGTCTCAAAATTCTACTGGCTAAGCAAGTTACAATGGTAACGACTAAAAAAGTTCAACCTTATGGCAATATAAATTTTACCATGTAATTATTAACTTTTCTATTATTAAGTTTGCAACACTGATTTTATGTGAATTTCCTCCATAAATCATAATGAAAGGATTTATAAATCTGAGTGGTCGTGGCAGTCCTCCTGTGGGGTGTTCACCAGAGTAGATACATTAATGCCATAGCTCTGCAATAGAAAAATGTGTGAATTAAAAATAAATGACTTTCTTAACTCACAAGTAAAGGGTTTCCTGGCTTTATCTGGGTTTATACACAAATAACCCGCACATAGAAGAGAGGAGCTTATGACAATGTTTCGGTCCAACTTGGACCATTTACAAAGTCACACTAACGAGAAGTAGAGCAGGACGGGTATATATAGGCAGGAAGAGGTGGTAGTGCTGGCGGCGGCATGATAGGAAAAGTAGTGAATGTACATGCCACTGTGCATAGGTTTGCGGTAAACAGAAAAGGAAAAACCTGTATCTGAGTGGTGGACATGGACATCAAGGAAAAAAAGCAAGGAATTAGATTCCCATTCAGCTTTAAACTTAATGAAAGGGTGAAGATTATTAAGAGCTTCAAGAAAAGGTTGGAAGAGACTGGAGTCATAAGGCCACAGAGCAAAGATGTCATCAACATAGCAGAGCCAGAGTGAAGGTTGCACATTGATGGTAGGAAGAACAGTCTCTAAGTATTCCATGTAAAGATTAGCAAGGACAGGAGAGAGAGGAGAGCCCATAGTGGCATGTACATTCACTACTTTTCCTATCATGCTTCCCCTGTCAAGAAAAGTGTTCTTATCTCCCTCTTTCTCCGTGCCCTCCGCATCTGTGATCCTCAGTTCCTTCCAGCAGAAATTTTCACCCTTCATAATTTGCTTTCCCGTCTTGACTACCCTTCTCATTTCATAGACTCCGCCTTCTCACGTGCTAAACGTAATTTTTTCTCTCCCAAACTCTCTACTCCTGGGAACTCTTCTGTCCTCTGCCTTCCCTACATTTCCGGTCTTTCTAATCTCAACAACTCTCTCCGTTCCTTAGACATCAAGCTTACTTTCCGCCAGACTGACACTTCGCACCAATCTCGTTCATACCTCTCCTCCCTCTACAGATGTTCCTGGTGTCTACTCTATTTCTTGCTCCTCCTGTCCTCTTCAGTACTTTGGAGAAACTGGCCGATCTCTTTCTGACAGACTTGGGGAGCACAAAAATAGTGTTAGGCTTGCCAACACTAACAATGCTCTTTTCTGTCACATCAGAGATCACAGCCACCCTATTGACTGGTCTTCTGCTAAAACTGTCTTCCCTACTTCCAACTTTAACAATCGCCGTCTGGTTGAATCCTCCCTAATACACAACTTTCCTTGCATGAATCTTAGTCCTGGGTTTGTCTCTGTAGATGCCTTCCTTCCCACTACATTGTAAAATGCTCCAAACTTCAGAACACCCATGACTTAACCTGATTCCTCCTTTTTTCTTCTTCTCCCTCTTCCCTTTTCCTCTTTCCTTTTTTCTCTTCTGGGTTGTCTTTCTTCTGTCTTGTGTTTCTGTTCCTTCATTATTTATTTCATTATTTCCCCTCCCTCCCCACCTCTGTGTTCTTACTCTCCCTCTGTGGGCACCTAACTCCCTTGTGGGCACCTAGCTCCCTTGTGGGCACCTAGCTCCCTTGTGGGCACCTAGTTCCCTTGCAGTGGTCCCCTTTCTTTGTATTTGACTGGCTCCTCCTCCTTACTTCCCCATTTCTACTTCCATGTCTGCCACTACTACTACTACTACTACCTCCTCCTGCCTATATATACCCGTCCTGCTCTACTTCTCGTTAGTGTGACTTTGTAAATGGTCCAAGTTGGACCGAAACGTCGTTGTAAGCTCCTCTCTTCTATGTGCGGGTTATTTGTGTATCGTTCCAGTCACGGTATTGTGCCTTTTTTTATTTATCTGGGCTTGTTCTATACTAATTCACTATTATACTCTGTCCCATTTCTAGCGGTGATTCTGTATGTGATATACGTTCACCATATGCAATTAATGCAGTTCTGCAAAAGTACTGAAGATTCTTTTGCAAAATTAAGTGTTACTGGCATGACTGAGCTTAGTATAAGTAGCTGGGCCTGGAACACATCTGCATAAAGAAAGGCAAAACACTTCAAGTGCTAATGCTAGTGAAGAGTTTATGACTCAAGGAATTTTAGCTATCAATTCTCAAGGAATTTTATAACTCCTATAGGTTCGGCACTTCTCCATGATAAGACACTAATAAGGAAAGTGCCTCTCCATCACCTTCCTGTTCTGCTTCCTCACTCTTTCTCCTGTCCTTCCTCTTTCCTTATGTCTCCCTCCTCTTCACATTTTCTTCACAGTATTTTATTATTTTTCACATAATATCAGGAGATATGTAATTCTGTACATATTCTGACAGAATACTTTGGCTTCTGTTTTAGGAATTAAGTTGCTGTATCCTTGATGTTAGTGTCCAAGTGGATTTATGTTCTTGTGTGTACAAGAAATAGGAAATTAGCCTAAACACTAAGACAGTGAAGTTGAGATCTATACTGAAAACACAATGTCCTAGAAGTGACAAAAGATGAAGGCACAGCATATTTGATGATGGATAAATGAATGGTAGTGATGGTGATAAAAAAATAATACAAGAAGAAGCACTTACAATGGAGTACAAGAAGAATGTCATCTGTGAGTAAGAGAGAAATGAAAGTTTACAAATTAGAGGAGGAGGAGGAGGAGGAGGTAATTAGGGTAAGGTAGTAGGTTGGTAGACAGCAACCGCCCTCCCTGGGCGGTTGCTGTCTACCAAGTGCCAAGTGAGTGTAAAATGGAAACCTGTAATTGTTTTACATGATGATAGGATTGCTGGTGTCTTTTTTCTGTCTCATAAACATGCAAGATTTCAGGTACGTCTTGCTACTTCTACTTACACTTAGGTCACACTACACATACACGTACATGTTTATTTATACACACTCATCTGAGTTTTCTTTGATTTCATCTTAATAGTTCTTGGTCTTATTACTTTTCCTTTTATATCCATGGGGAAGTGGAATAGAATCTTTCCTCCGTAAGCCATGCGTGTTGTAAAAGTGAACTAAGATGCCGGGAACAATGGGCTAGTAACCCCTTTTCCTGTAATAATTACTAAAAAGAATAAGAAGAAGAAAATTGTCAAAGTGGGAAGTCTGAATGAGCGAGGATGTTGTGCAAATGATGAGAAAGAGATGATTGTGGATGTTATGAATGAGAAGAAGCTGGATGTCCGGGCTTTAAGTGAAACAAAGATGAAGGGGGTAGGAGAGTTTCAGTGGAGAGGAATAAATGGGATTAGGTCAGGGGGTTTCAAATAGAGTTAGAGCTAAAGAAGGGGTGGCAATTATGTTGAAGGATAAGTTATGGCAGGAGAAGAGGGACTATAAATGTATTCATTCAAGGATTATGTGGAGTAAAATAAAGGTTGGATGTGAAAAGTGGGTTATAGTATGCGTATATGCACCTGGAGATGAGAGAAGTGGAGAGAAGTGTAGAGGAGAGAGAGAGAGATTTTGGGAAATGTTGAGTGAATGCATGGGGAGTTTTGAACCAAGTGTGAGAGTAATGGTGGTTGGGGATCTCAGTGCTAAAGTGGGCAAAAATGTTGTGGAGGGAGTAGTAGGTAAATTTGGGGTGCCAGGGGTAAATGAAAATGGGGAGCCTTTAATTGAGCTATGTGTAGAGAGAGAGGTTTAGTAATAAGTAATACATATTTTATGATGAAGAGGATAAAAAAATATACAAGGTATGATATAGCACATAATGAAAGTAGTTTGTTAGATTATGTATTGGGTTCAATCCCGGCCGGGGTATGGTTTGGTGGATAAAAGGTTGATGGGTAGGCTCCAGGATGTACACGTTTACAGAGGGGCAACTGACATATCGGATCATTACTTAGTTGTAGCTACAGTTAGAGTAAGAGGTAGATGGGAAATGAGGAAAATGGCAACAACAAGTAAGAGGGAGGTGAGTGTGTATAAACTACGGGAGGAGGAAGTTTGGGTGAGATATAAGCAACTATTGGCAGTAAGGTGGACTGGTGCAAGTATGAGCAGTGGAGGGGGTTGAAGAGGGTTGGAAGTTTTAAAAATGCAGTATTAGAATGTGGAGCAGAAGTTTGTGGTTATAGGAGGGTGGGTGCAGGAGGAAAGAAGAGTGATTGGTGAAATGATGAAGTAAAGGTTGTGATAAAAGAGAAAAAGTTAGCTTATGAGAGGTTTTTACAAAGCAGAAGTGTTATAAGAAGAGTAGAGTATATGGAGAGTAAAAGAAAGGTGAAGAGAGTGGTGAGAGAATGCAAAAGGAGAGCAGATGATAGAGTGGGAGAGGCACTGTCAAGAAATTTTAATGAATATAAGAAAAAAATTTGGAGTGTGTTAAACAAGTTAAGAAAGCCTAGGGAACAAATGGATTTGTCAGTTAAAAACAGAGTAGGGGAGTTAGTAGATGGGGAGAGGGAGGTTTTGGGTAGATGGCGAGAATATTTTGAGGAACTTTTAAATGTCGACGAAGAAAGGGAGGCAGTAATTTCATGCACTGGCCAGGGAGGTATACCATCTTTTAGGAGTGAAGAAGAACAGGATGTGAGTGTGGGGGAGGTGCGTGAGGCATTATGTAGAATGAAAGGGGGTAAAGCAGCTGGAACTGATGGGATCATGACAGAAATGTTAAAAGTAGGGGGGGATATAGTGTTGGAGTGGTTTGTATTTTTGTTTAATAAATGTATGAAAGAGGGGAAGGTACCTAGAGATTGGCAGAGAGCATGTATAGTCCCTTTATATAAAGGGAAGGGAGACAAAAGAGATTGTAAAAATTATAGAGGAATAAGTTTACTGAGTATACCAGGAAAAGTGTCCGGTAGGGTTATAATTGAAAGAGTGAGAGGTAAGACAGAATGTAGGATTGCGGATGAGCAAGGAGGTTTTAGAGTAGGTAGGGGATGTGTAGATCAAGTGTTTACATTGAAGCATATATGTGAACAGTATTTAGATCAAGGTAGGGAAGTTTTTATTGCATTTATGGATTTAGAAAAGGCATATGATAGAGTGGATAGGGGAGCAATGTGGCAGATGTTGCAAGTACAGTGGTCCCTCGTTTTTCGTAATTAATCCGTTCCTGGAGGAGCTAATATAAACGAAATTTA